GTTTTATATTTTTATCATTTTTTATCTGTTACTTTTTCTTTTGTGGGTTAGGATATTTTGTTTTTCCCTGCTTTGGTTTCTCTTATCACACTCTTTCTCTCCATTCTTCTCCTTTTAATAATTCTCTTATTCTTTTTTTTTTAACTTTTTTTTTGTAGTTGTGTATGGACAGGATGTCTTTATTTTATTTATTTATTTTTTAATGTGGTGCTAAGGATCAAACCCAGTACCTCACACATACTAAGCATCTGCCACTGAGCTACAGCCCTAGCCCTGTTTCTCTCTTTTAGCTTCCCTTATTTGGCTTTTTCTCTTCCTACTTTATATCAGTTTTGCTTTCCAATTTGAAATATTCAAAACTTTCACAAATTCTTTTAGTTTCTCCTTATTTTGGTAGGTTTTTATTTCTTCCTCTATTCTGAGGTACAACATTGCTGGTTACAGTGATCTGGTTGACAGTTCTTTTCTTTCAGGGCTTCCTACCCCATTTAACTTTCTCTTATTGAATTATATTTTACAATCTTTCAGAAATATGTATATACTATCAGTCATGTTGTTGTGGCAATTGGGACTATAGATGGCATAACTGACTCCTGTTGTTTAATGCCACATCTGGCTCAGTACTACTTATTGTTGCTGCTGTATACAACACAACTTCCTGATCTACAAAAAGGACCACACTCATGAGACCTACAGGAAAAGTGAGATTCTTAAGTTCTCATGTAATTAATATACACTATGTCAAATCATTACCAAAGAATTAGCAGAGAAACTATACTACAAAATTCACTTGGAAATATATTTAAAAACTGACAGTAATTGATATTCCAGAGACGGGATCACTTCGACAAGAGAAGGCTATGCTCTTAAAATAGAAGAGTGGAAGAGAACCCAACAGACACACAAAACCCAACACAGGAATACAACAAATATAAAAAAACAGATAACATAACACTTCCTAAAGTTCATAATTTACAAGCAACTGACTTCAAAGATATTAAAGCAAATGAAATACAACAAAAAATTCAAAACAATGATTATAAAAATAATCATTGAATTCAAGAACACAGAAAAACTAAATGAACTAAAGTAGTCAGTATAGGATATAAATGGGAAATTCCTCAGTAAACAAAGAATCCTTGGAAATGAAAGGCACAATAAAAAAAAAAAAAAAAGTTCAGTTGATAGTCCCTCTAATAGAGTAGACCATGCTGACAACAGAATCTCAGAGCTGGAAGACAAAGTGGCCAACTTTGAATATTTGGGCAGATTTAAAGAAAATAAGCAAACATGTTTACAATATACAAGAACTCTGACACAATATCAAGAAGCCAAACTCAAGAGTTGAAGAGGGCCATCAGACACAGAGTAATGACATGAATAACCTCTTCAGAGAATAACAAAAATTTTCCAAATCTTGGGAATGAGATAGACCTAGAAACAAGAATCAAGCAGAACCCCAAATACACAAGTGTAAAAAAGAATCACAAAACAACACGTAATTAAAATGCCTAATGTCCAGAGCAGGATAGATTTTTAATTTTAAAAGTCTCAAGAGAAAAACATTAGATCACATTTAGAGGCAAGCCCATCAGAATTACTTCTGAATTCCCAGCACAAAGTAAAATCTAGAAAGATTTAGAATGTGTTCCAAGCCTTGAAAGAAAGGATCTGTCAACCAGATCACAATAACCAGCAATTGCTGGAAGAAGAAATAAAAACATACCAAAATAAGGAGAAACTAAAAGAATTTGTGACTACTAAGACAGCACTACAGAAAACACTTAAATACTACACACAGGAAGAAATCAAAAACAAATTCCAGAGCTCGTATGTACACAAATTTCACTTGAAAAGTAGCTAAACAAAAAAAGACCAAATTAAACATTAGAAATAAATCAAAATGCAGGAATTAATAAACAGCTCTCTACCATAACACTGAATGCAAATGATATCAACTCCTCAACTGAAAGACATAGGCTGGTAGGATGAATTAAGAAATAAAACCCAACTATATATTGTTTAAGAAATCAGGCTGAAAATCAAAGGATGGAAAATGATATGCTATATAAAAGGCATCCCCAAAAAAGCAGAAGTAGCTATTCTCATGTTCAACAAACCAGACTTTAAGCCAAAATTAATCAAAAGAGACAAAAAAGAAAAATCACTTCATACTATTAAAGGGAACAATCCAACAAGATATAATGATAGTAAATATTTATGCCACAAACATCAGTACACCTAATTACATAAAACAGATACTTCTAGCCTTAAAAATGCAGACCCTAGATCAATATTAGGAAATTTCAACACACCTCTCTCAAAAACACTCTTCAGACCTAAAAAACATTATAAATCCAACGAACTTAATAGATATCTGTAGAATATTTCATTTAACAACTGCTGAATTCACTTTTTTCTCAGATGCTCATGGACCTTCTCTAAAACCATAAGGCCACAAAACAACTCTTAGTAGATACAGGGGAAAAAATTATATAACTCCATGTACCTTATCATACAGACTGAAATTGGGGGGGGGGGGGGGGGAGACAAGAAAAACTCGAAACTACATGGTTTATATATAAACACATGGAGATTGAATAATACACTTCTGAATAATGAATGGATGACAGAAGAAATCAGGAAAGAAATTTTAAAATTCTTAAAACCAAATTAGAGGGGCTGGGGATGTGGCTCAAGCAGTAATGTGCTCGCCTGGCACGCGTGGGGTGCTGGGTTCGATCCTCAGCACCACATAAAATAAAATAAAGATGTTGTGTCCACGGAAAACTGAAAAATAAATATTTAAAAAAAAAATCAAATTAGAATAGTGATACAATATACCAGAAACCAAAACCTCTACGACACTACAAAGGTGGTTCTAAGAGGTAAGTTTAGAGCTATTGTGTGCCTACATAAGAAAATTAGGTCCTAAAAGAACATAATGATGCAAGGCCCTGCAAAAACACGAACAAACCAATTCCAACAGCAGTGGAAGGAGGCAAATAATTAAGATTAGAGTCAAAATCAAAGAAATAGAGAATTCTTAAAAATATAAATATGAATTAAACAAAGATTTGGTTCTTTGAAACTTAACTATATTGGTAAACCCACAGCCAAACTAATCAAAAAGAAAAAAAAGACACAAAATAATAAAACTAGAGGTATAAAAAGAGATATCACCACAAACATCAAAGAAATCCAAAGGATCATTAGTATCATTTTGAAAACTTACACTCCAATATATTGGAAAATCTAGAAGAAATGTATACATTTCTAGACAAAAGTGACATAAACAGAACAAAAACAAGTGATGAGATGGGGGGGGCACCCTTCCAACAAAGAAAAGCTCAGGACCAGATGGATTCTCAATTCTACCAAACCTTTAAAGAACAACAAATTACAATGTTCCTCAAAGTATTCTATGAAATAGAAAGCGGTGGAATACTTCCAAATAAATTCTATGAAGCCAGTATCATCCTGAAACCAAACCAGACATGGACACGTCAAGGAAAAGAAACTACAGACCAATATCCCTAATAAATCTAGGTGCAAAAATCCTTAATAAAATATGAGCAAATCATATTTAACAACATATTATAAAGATTGTCCATTATAATCATGTTGTCTTCAAACATTCCAAGGATGCAGATAGTTTAACATATGCAAATAAATTTTGTAATCCACCACACAAATAGAATTAAGGACAAAAATGACATAATTTTCTCAAAAGATTCAGAAAAACCCTTTACAAAATTCAGCACCCCCTTTAAGACAAAAACACTGAGCAAACTAGGGAGAAAAGGAACTTACTTCAACATCATAAAAGTTATTTATGACAAACTCAAAGCCAAATCATAGTAAATGAGGAAAAAATGAAAGCATTTACTGTAAAATATAGAACAAGAGAAGCCATGTTCATTCTCACTGCCTCTGTTCAATATAATACAAGCCACAGTGATTAGGTAAAAGGAAGAAATAAAAGAGATAAAAACAAAGAAGGAAGAGGACAAATAATCAATATGACCCTACAAGATCCAAAAACCTCCACAGATTGCCAGAGCTAATCAACAAATTCAGCAGGATACAATATCAACATATAAAAATCAATAGCTTTACAATATACCAATAATAAATTTGCTGAAAAAGAAATCAGGAAAACAATCTCACTCACAGTAGATTAAAAGGGAAAAAAAAGCAGTATATAGTTGCAATTCAATCCCCATCAAATTACCAGTGACATTCTTCATAAAACTGTTTTGTACTCATGTGGAAGAACCAAACATTCAGAAAGGCCAAAGAAATTCTATGCCAATAAAGCAATGCTGAAGGCATTATAATACCTGGCTTCAAATTATACTACAGAGTTATAACAACAAAAACTGCATGGTACTTACATAAAAACAGACACATAGACAAATGGAACAGAATAGAAGACACAGAGATAAACACACAGAGATAAATAAAGTCATCTAATCCTTGACAAAGGTGCCCCCGTCCCCCAAAAAATGCTGAAGGATAGACAACCAGTACTGGGAAAACTGGTTATCAATATGAAGAATGAGACCAGCTCCCTATCTCTCACCTTTGATTCAATCCAAAATGAATCAAAGGCCTAAGAATTAGACCAGAAATTTTGCAACTCCTAGAAGAAAATGTGGGGCAAACACTCCAGCATATAGGCACAGGCAACAACTTCCTCAACAGGACTCCTAAAGTTCAGCAAATACCAAGAATTAAAAAATGGGATAACATCAAATTAAAAAGATTCTGCACAGCAAAAGAAGCAACAAGAATATGAAGAGAGATCCTAAAGAATAGCAGAAAACCTTTGCCAAAAAAAAAAAAAAACTAAAAGTCTATTCTTCCTCCCCAACACTTAGCCAAAAATATACTAATTTCTTAAGAAAATTAGGCTTTATACTTTGGTTACTATATATCAAGCCAACATGGAGTTTTCTTACATTTAAAAAAAAAAAAGCCTAATATAATAATCTTACCTATTTGTTCCATCCAGATCTGATTTGTGGATGAAATTAAGTTTTGCATCTGCCCAATAAAGCTTCCGTTCCTCATAATCCAAAGTCAGTCCATTTGGCCAGTAAATTTCAGTGTTTATAATAATGAAACGATTTGAGCCATCCATTCCAGCACGTTCTATCTTTGGCACTTCTCCCCAGTCTGTCCAGTACATGAACCTAAAGGTAATAAAACAATTAAAACCATGATATAAACAAATAACAACAAAATATTCTGTAATTAACACTACTAGATAAAGAAAGCTCTCCAGAGAATACTAAACCTAAAACCTCAAGAATTTTTTTTAATTTTAGTAATCTTTCTGTAACTACCACAGTAATATCCATTTCAGACAAGCATCATCAAAGTTTGCAAAAAAAACAAAAAACAAAAAAAACCACTGGATCAAAATTTAAGAGGATAAAGAATATTCATACTATCTCAATGTGTCTCCCCACAGGTTGCTTATTAATAACAAAGGAGAAAATGATACCTTTAGACAAACCTGGTATACTAACATAAAAAGGTTATCTACATTAACATAACACCACCAATGGAGATTATAAAAAAGGTTATCTACATTAACAACACCAATGGAGATTAAAACAGCATCATAAATCTTTTAATGTGATACACTGACAAGAACATGGAATCTTATATAAATCTCTTACCTATGATTGCTGCCTAAAAGTACATCATATAAATAAAATTATAAGGAAAATACTCAAGGTGTATTCTACAAAACAATACCATGAAAATCAAAGGCTGAGGAAACAATACAGACTGGAGTAGAATAAAGAAATATGAAGTGCACATCAAGCCAACATGGACTATAAGGTAGGGGGAAATTCTAAGGACATTGGGGGAAAAGACAAAATTGGCGGAACATCAAATCATACAGTACTACTATATTAATGTTAAATGTTTAAATGTGCTAATTGTCTATAGTTGTTATCTACAGGAATTCACTGATTTACTTTCTTTTTTGTATACAAAATTAAAATTTTTTTTCAAAATAAAAAATTAAAGAGTTTAACAGTCTCAATACAGGGAAGAAGCAATTTCTTCTTTGATATAAAGGAAACACTCTGTAATACTTTAAAGTGTATTTCCAGTAGAATGAAACAGACATTATTATTGTATGTATATATGTGATTGCATGACCAATATGATTCTGCAACTCATAAAAATGAGAAATTATATCCCATCTATGTATGATATATCAAAGTGCATAAATGCATTCACTGTCATGTATAACTAATTAAAACAAATTTTTAAATTTTTAAAAAGTATTAATTCCAAAAAAGATAAGAGGGTGCTATGAACTAGGAGTAATGAGTTTCTAAAATGTGTTAGAGCGCAGAGTGAAATACAGGTTTAACTTTGAAATAATTGATAGCCTGGTGATAATGGATTAATTTTATTTAAGCACATTGCAATCTCTACTATTTCATATAAACTGCTTATTCAAAAAGGCTGGGAGGAGAACATCAAGTGGGGAACAAAAATACCTTCCAGATACAAGGTACTGTGCTAATAGCTTTACATATATTTCCTCAATTAAGCCTTACAACCTTATGGACTATTACTCATCATCACATTTCATATAAGAAAATTTTAAAAAAAATAAGTATATTCCTCAAAGTCATGGTTAACAAATGGGGACTAGAAAGCCAAACCTATATTCCTCAGGATGAAAAGTCAATACTAATGACATAGGTCAGAGCCTGGACTTTTAAGGAACAGAAAGCAAAGTGCTCCTTAAATTGAGGCTACTGACTGGATACAGTCTAGAATACAGGATAAAAATGAGTACATTTACATGAGATAAAACTATATAGGAAAGCAGGCCAGACCATGTTATAATTTGGGAAGTTTATTCTGAGAGCAGCATGAGGACACTTGAACACTTTCAAAATTGAAGATGAAATGACTGGCTTTGTTTTGCAGGTAGGGAGGTGTACTTGCTGCAATGTGAGAATGACTGAACGGAGACTAACAAGAACACAGAGACACTGTGGCTTCAAGAGTTTCTGTGAGAAACTCCATAAATCCTCTGACCTAAAAGTAATGAAAAAATAGGACAACACCGCCAAAAATAACTAAAGTCTCAGAAAATTGATAAAAGGAGGAACATGTATTCAAGGAAAATCTAATAAAGCTCCAGAACTGTGATATTTTAGCTAAGAGCTAACTGCATCCCTACCAATAATGTCAATTTGTGGCAAAAAAATTCTACCTTACATAGACATGGCAAGCCATGAGAACTACAGTTACTTTGCCTTACAAGAGGGGATGACTTTATTAAGGACGAACCATGAAAAAAAAAAAACTATGCCTAGCAATGTTGTCAAAAGCAAGAGTATAGACAGTCAGGGCAGTCTGTTATCCCAGGGACACTGGCTGGGGCAGGCAACAAAATTTCCAGCAGACAAACTGGAAATTTAACATGAAGGTCCTAGGAAAGAGACAGAGAGCCTTGTTAAGTGAAGTATAATTCTTTGGTGGTCAGGAAGGCTTTATGTATGTACATGGCTGCTCCTTCTCAAAAGATGCCAGAAAGAACACTCGCAAGCTGATCTGGCTAAATGTGAGACAAACTTCAAACTGCTTAAAATTTTTAAATATTCCACAATCCAAAGACCCAAAACATTTAATGGCCCAATATTTTTAACAATAACTTTTACTCAGTCATCAACTAACCACTCAGACGAGAGATATAAGGGCAACACCTAAAAAACAGGCATAAAAGTATTTTAAAAGAAGAAAATACAAGCAATGAATTTAGAGACAGCACATTGAGCACACATATACAACAGAATTAGTATAGATAAGTCACTAAACAAGAATATACAATATCATAAGGGTCTCTAGTTTCACCCATATTTCTGGAAATGATAAAATTTCATTTTTCTTTACGCCTGAATAACACTCCATGGTGTATATTAACCACATTTTCTTTATCCATTCATCCCCTGATAGACACCTAGGCTGACATAGTTTGGCTATAGTGAAATGTGATGCTATAAACATGGGAATGCATATATCACTGTAGTATGAGGACTTTAATTCTTCAGGATAAATACCGACGAGTGATATAGCTGGATCACATGGTGGTTCCATACGCAGCCTTTTGAGAAAACTCCACAATGATTTCCATAGTGGCTGTACTAATTTACAGTCCTACCAACAATGTTAAAGTTCCTTTTTCTCTACAACCTCTCCAGCATTTATTATTTGTATTCTTGATGACTACCATTCTGACTGGTATGAGATGAAATCTCAGTGCAGTTTTGATTTGCATTTCCCTAATTGCTAATGATGTTGAACATTTTTCATATATTTCTGACCATTTGTATTTTTTCTTTCAAGAAGTGCCTGTTTAATTCATTTGCCCATTTATTAATTGGGTGATTTTATTTTTTTGGTGTGAAGTTTTGAGTCATTTATGTATTATCGTTATTAATCCTGTCAGAAGAGTAGCTAGCAAATATTTTTTCCCATTCTGTAGGTTCTCTATCCACATTTTCAACTGTTTTCTTTGCTGTGCAGCTTTTTAATTTAATGCCATCCCATTTATTAATTCTTAGCATTATTTCCTGGGCCTTGGGGGTCCTATTGAGAAAGTTGTTCCCCGTGCCTAAATGCTAGAGTGATGACCCTACATTTTCTTCTAGGAGTTGCATAGTTTCTGGTCTAACTCCTAGGTCTTTTGAGTTGATTTTTGTGCAGGGTGAGAGTTAAGGGTCTAGTTTCATTCTTCTACATATGGATAACCAGTTGTCCCAGCACTGGTTGTTAAAAAGACTGTCATCTCTCAAGTGCATGTTTTTGGCAACCTTTGTCAGGACAAGATGACTATACGTATGTGGGTTTGTCTCTGTCTTCTATTCTGTACCATTGATCTATGTGTCTGTTTTTATGCCAGTACTATACAGTTTTTGTTACTACAGCTCTGTAGTATAATTTAAAGTCAGGTATTGCAATGCCTCCAGCATTGCTTTTTTGGCTTAATATTGCTCTGGCCTATTCTGGGTCATTTACGCTTCCAAAGGAATTTTAGGACTGTTTTTTCTAGTTCTGTGAAGATGAGAATTGCACTGAATATGTATATTACTTTTAGTAGTATGACCATTTTAACAATATTAATTCTGCCTATCCATGAACATGGGAGGTCTTTTCATCTTCTAAGTTATTCAATTTCCTTCTTCTATAATTTTCACTGTAGAGTTTTTCACCTCTTTGGTTAGATTTATAACTAAACATATAATTTTTCTGAGGTTATTGTAGATGAAATTGTTTTCCAGATTTCTTTCTCAGCATATTCACTGTTTGTATATAGGAAAGCTACTGATTTTTGTATGTTGATTTTGTAACATGCAAATTTTCTGGTTTTTAATAAAAATTTCCAAAACATCAAAGAAACAGGAAAGGGGGTTGGGAGACATAGCTCAGTGCTAAAGTACCTGCCTAGCTTGTGCCAGACCATGTGTTTGCTTTCCAGTACTGAAGAGGAAAGAAAAGGAAAAGCAAAAGAATCTATAAATTTGAAGCAATAGATTCCATCTAATTAAAAAAAAAAAAAAGACTATCCAAAATAAAAGAAATGAAAGCTAGAAAAAGGAGGAGGGGGAAGAAACATGAGATATATACATCAATATAACAAATGGAGTACCAAAGGAAAGAAGCAAAGGGTCAGGATGGGGGGAATAACAGGGAATGATACTGGCCAAATTATACTGTGACAATTGTATGCGTGTATGAATATGTAACAATCCCACCATTATATACAACTATAATACACCAACAAAAACATGGGGAGGGGATATTCATTTTTGAATAATCTTTCTGAATAATACAGAATATAATGAACAACTGTGTTGCTATTTGTACTGGTAGTCCAAAAGCAATGGTGAGTAAACTGATGGCACCTTAATATAAAACAAGGCAGAAGCACCCAACTGTACTAGTAGAACTCTAAGAAATTCACTATTCCAAGTGCTAAAGAGTAGATAGAGCATCTGAAATCATTACATACTACCTGTTTTAATTCAAAATGGCATATCCACTTTGGAAAATGATAGTTTAATATAAACAAACATTTCTGTAAGATATACTAACTCTATTTCTAGATATTTACTAAAGAGAAATTAAGTATACATTCACACAAAAACCTACA